TGAGCCAGCCAAGTGTCAAGTTAGTTCAGCAGTAGGGAAGGCTTGTTAAAATCTTTATCCTCATGATGGACAGTGGCCAGTAAGAGAGAGAGAGAGAGAGAGAGAGAGAGAGAGAGAGAGAGAGAGAGAGAGAGAGAGAGAGAGAGAGAGAGAGAGAGAGAGAGAGAGAGAGAGAGAGAGAGAGAGAGAGAGAGAGAGAGAGAGAGAGAGAGAGAGAGAGAGAGAGAGAGAGAGAGAGAGAGAGAGAGAGAGAGAGAGAGAGAGAGAGAGAGAGAGAGCATTATGTCGTTGTAGCCTTGGCAGTGCAACCTTTGTTGTTCTGTAATCACCCGGCGGACATCTACTAAGTAATGCCTGAACTGATCATGTTCAATGTGCGGTATTGTTGCTTATCAGTAGGACAAGCACACATACATGCACATACAACGTCATACAGTAACTCAGTTATGCAGCAATCAAAATCAACAACACAGGACGGCAAATGGATATGGAATCAAATGTACCCATATAGGGTTTGATGGTGAACTTTGATCTAGTATGAACACTGAGTGCATGCTGTTAGTGTAATGACTTGTGTGTGATTGCATTCAGAATTTCAGATCATAGTCGAGGTATCCATATAACCGGGATGGCGCTTTCCAGCTCAATGGTACAAAGCAGGCAGACGAATCCTTGTTTTGTTTTTTAAATCATGCAATAATCATGCAATTACAGCAGCCAACAAACTCACCGCAGTTGTGTTGTCGTAAACCAGGAAGAAGCCGTGGAAATAGAATTTACTTGGCTTGCTTGGCACCGAGGCACTCCACTCCGCGGTGCGGTACTCTCGCTGTACACGGCAAGCCAGTAGCACCAACGTCAGAAACACTTGCTAATAGAGATACATGATTGTCATCATTTTTACCGTAGTCCACGATGTCATGACGATTGCACACTGATGCCATGATTGCAGACAAGCCCCACTGAACTCGGGCGAAAGGAGTGGCGAGAGCTTTCATTAATACAAGTACAGTAGAGCATCGATTATCCTAGCTAGCCCTTTGGAGCAGACGGCGATCAGAAGGGGTTCGGGGCTGTAAGGTGAATGCTCGGATACTATGAGTCACAGGTCCACAGTGCGGCTTTTGCCTTTAAACTGGCTCTGAACAGAATAATTATTAATTGTAATTTGTATCCAGTGTTAATCGCGCTCCTTCCTTGCTCGGCATCCCTACACATTACTGCATGTTTTCTCTGTGTGTTCTTCACTGCATGCTTACACATACACACACCCATTTGAATTATATACATACTTTGTGCTTTGGAATTATCATGTTCTGATTCTTTTTAATATTTCCTTCTCTCATAATATTACATTCGTTCTTAGCAGGAACCGGAGGTTTTTCCTCTGGTGAGAAGGCAGAATTGCCTGTGCTCTAAACGAATTCAAATAAAAGAAACAAACAAACAGGTACGCGTGCGCAAGGGGCTCATGGACGCATGTGCTATATCAAATTTGTTCTATCAGCGAAACAGCGTACACGATCATGTTCATGCACTGACGGGCATGCCAGCAATCACGCGTATATCTACAGACTATGCGACTGCACGTGTGAACTCAAGTTCTGCAACGGGCATCTTCGATTTCTATTTTCTATTTTTTTGGTTCCAGCCATTCTGGATAATCGATCATCCAGATAGTCGACTAGTGTCCGGATAATCAACACTCTGCTGACAGTACTGTATGTCTGGTGAGGGTGGTGGTGGTGGTGGGTGAAAGTGATCAAAGTGGCCACTGTCACACTTGAGCTCAGTAAAGCTGAAGGCCTCTAGCCGTGACATCCTGTTCCTTACTGGGAGAACTGTCAGGCCAGAAGAGAACACTCAATGTACTAACCGTATACACTTCCATGACCCGCTGCAGCTCCTTGAAAACAGAGGACTTCTTCCACTCGCGCACGAGCGTAGACTTTCCCACGCCTTCATCTCCAATGACATCTATCACACACACCGGGCTGCACGGACAGCAGCAAAGAGAGCGCAAGCAAAGAACCATTTTCTTTTGCCGTTCATCCTATCCCACAGAAACATGTGCCATGATGGTTCTGAATGCAATCCAATCGGAGTCCCAGGTGAAACACCATGACAACAAAATGGATGCGAAGTGGAACGTGTACCCGCAGCATGTACTTAAAGTATGGTCAGTGTGATGTTGCAGAACCGCAACATCACACTGTTGTCTGACTGTGGCTGTATTTGATGCGCTCAGCATCCATTCATTGCTCAGTAGCTCAATGGTGGCACGATGCAACGCAACAGTATGCAACCACGCCAGGACTGAATACGTCAGGCATGGTGTGTTTAATGATAATGGCGTAGCCGCTCAGAGCGGCTCTGTAGCCTCGTCAGGATAGTAACTTCCAGTGAGCACAGCCACACTCAAAGTCCTTGGCTACACTTTTATTTTATTTAGGTGTAGCCAAGGTGTTAGTGTGGCCGTATGCGTATGCGCTGGAAGTAAAGTAGTTCGTTATCACGGTATGTTCTTGCAATCACTCCATTCATTCTGCCCTGCATTGTAATGCGGGTCGCTATCAGTAGTTATTGTAGTGCAGGCAGTGGCTGCCCACCTTCCCACGCCATACACAGTGACACAGTGATACTAACACACCTACAAACGCTGCGCCGATACTGAGTGCGTCCATGCAATGGTCATGAAAACGATGGCTACAAATGGCTGGTGGAACAAGTACCCGAGTGGGCAACCTACCGATCGATCACCTCCACTGCCAGCTTAGACATGGCTGTATGTGCTCAGTTCAGCTCAGCTTCGAACCGAAGACTTGAACTCCAGTTGAAGTGTCAACCAGCCATAGCGGTAAAGCAGCCACAAACTTCGCAATTAATTTTATTTTATCAGGTGTCACCGCCACAGTCCTTCAGTTCGTGTCGACAGAACCTGCCGCGGAGGAATTACTGCGGGACGCTCCAAAGCGGCTACAAGAAAGCCGACCACAAAATGAAGGCAGAACTCCCTTCGATGAACGAACGAAGTCACAACAGATAAGAGGCCTCCTCGTCTGAAAGTATCCACCAGTTCACGAAGCGACCGTAGTGCACTAGTGGTCGGCCAGGCAGCATCGAAAACAAACCTAAGACGCTGTACTGTCTGTTGTCGAGTGGTGGGTTCGATGAGACTGCACCCCCAACAAAATAATCATGATTCTATCTACAGTATCCGCATGCAGTCTCGGTTTCTGCATCGCTCGCACACCGGCGTACACACCTCTACTGATGTCAATGGATCTTGAAGTACAGTCGTGCACCATACATGGAGCGCTGCTCTCTTGACAGCCAAGCAAGCGATCGAACCTGTCAAGAAAGCAGAATTTTGTTGTCAGAATCACTGTCTTGATCATACATGTAATTGTACTGTAAAGTGCAAGTACAGTGGGCCTGCCGTCGACCGCGGGGAAGCCGCGAAGTTTCCTCTTGTCTCTCGTTGTTGTGCATCTTCACAATACTCAAAGACAATTTAAAATTATTAGACATGGTTAGCATTTTACCGTTCATGCTAACTTCGACCGTCGCCGACGGAATATGCGGATAATGCCGGCAGAAAAATTGGCAGAATTCGGTACTTTTTCTGTTAAGTTTCATGCATGTTTTGTGGATAAAGAAATAGAGCAGAATTCGAGGAATTGCCCGCCATAAGGTTTGTATGGTTCTGCCATTTTCACTGCTTTTCGAGCAGAATCTGCCACCGTTTCGAGCATTATCCGCACACCCTTAACCGTCGGCCTGTACCTTTTTTGTGTTTTCAGGACATGGTTAGCATTTCGCTTTCTGACACAACGATCGACTTGTGACGCAACCCGAGTTGGAATCTTACCGTTTCGTTCTCCCGCTAAACAGAGCTTTCTATCGTCGAAACTACACACCAAACCGACGGTATTTTGGGTGTTGGGTACGAGTAGCGAGTAACGTTACCGTTGGATTTAGCATGAACGGTAAACTGCTAACCATGTCTAGTAATGTGTTGCATTGTTTACCGTCGCGATCCCCATTTACATGTAAGCCCGCTGTCTAAAGTACAGTCTATGGAGTATGGTGGGGTGGTGCGCCACGCCAGGAGTAGTACATGTACTGACAGAAGACATGACTATAATTATCATTATCAAGCCGTTATCGTCAGTGATTGATTGATTTTATTTGGATTCGCGAGACCAAACGAGCAGGAGTGCTCAATAACAGGGTAGCGAATGGTTGAGTTGTGCTATGTGACAATGTAGTGTGTGCGTGGAGGGGGGGGGGGGGGGGGGGAGCTGCGGAGGCCCAATACAATGTAAGGGGATGGGAGGAGAGAAGGCCAGCGGAGAGTCAAATTCAGAAGAGGGAGGAGAGAATAGCTGAAGTACACGGCTACTGAGCGAATTCAAATAAACCAAAAAAACAGCAAAACAAGTACACAGCTCACGAGAATAAAGAGGACTGGAGCACAGAATTGAACTGCTGATGTACACAGCTGACGAGAGTGGCACTGAGTCTGTTCTCAACACAGCGTGTCCTCCGCCTTGTAACATGCTCAGATGATAACACGGCTGTAGACACGTAGACACGTGGACATGGTATTACTATTAGATAAACCTTGTTTTTGTTCAAACATGTTGCTGGTTGACGGTTGTAGAAAGGTCACTGTTTCCGAACACGGTGTCCTCCACCTTGCTACATGCTGTCAACCAACAACACCAGTAGACACAGTTACTTAGCTAGCTTGTGCGTTCCTGGCCTCAAATGTATTCTGCCTTGGCAGCAGTGCCGTTTACATGAAAGGGGATAAGAGAGCGTCTACATTTTGCATACTCTTCGATAGTCAACACCCAGTGAAGCGGTGAAGGAGGGTGGGTTGACGCCGATATTGAGATATCCACTATCAAAAGTAGAAGAGCCACTCATCATCGTTGTGTTGCTGGTGGGAGGAGGAGGTGGTGGAGGAGGAGGGGGAATGGGGAGGAGGAGTGGGAGTGAGGAGGAGTGGGAGTGAGGAGGAGTGGGAGAAGGGAGGAGGAGTGGGAGTGGGGGAGGGAGGAGGAGTGGGAGGAGGAAGCATGAGCACCGTGCTTGCAAGACCAGGACTGGAGAGAAGGAGATTGGTAATAATATTTACAAAATATATTGTTGAATTCCCCAAAGAAATCTCGCCTGTTGGGGAGTTCTATATACGGCATGTTAGTTGCTCCCAGCACATCAGCACGTCGTCCCAACATCCCCTGTGACTTTTTTGTCTTTCTCCATCCAGTAGGGCTGTGTTAGTAAAAGAAAACGAAAACCGCATTGAAATTACCATGCAATAGCTGAACCAGGAACACGGGATTATACGAGGGGCGTAGATATGGTTGGTTAGTTGGCGTACTTTATTTTACTTTATTTTACTTCGCCAGAATGAACAGGCATTATTGCCTTCTTGCCTGGACAAGTGAATTGTCCAAGCTCTCAGAAAATGAGAAGAAAGGAAAGAAATACTACATGAGTGTGCAAAAATAGGAGAGAGAGAGAGAGAGAGAGAGAGAGAGAGAGAGAGAGAGAGAGAGAGAGAGAGAGAGAGAGAGAGAGAGACTGCCTTATTGCCATCGAATTCTCCAAGCTCCCACAAAATGGTCAGGAAAGAAATATTACAACTGGGATTCTTTCTTTTAAAATTAAAGAAATATTACATGCAAAGATGCGCAGTGATCAGTTTGCGGATGCTTGGACAGGAGATTGCTAATTCTGGCGGTGTGGATGCGAACCATGAGGAGACGGAGTTTACAATGGGTGTGTTAGATGATGGGGATGAGGCCAAGACGTGTGTAGACGGGATCTGTGTGGGAGGGGAATGGCGGGTTGGCAACCCAGCGGATACATCGCTTACTTTAATAGTAGCAAGTGTTGCAGAAGAAGGATCCACGAACGGGATTCGAACCCAGCACCCCTGTCTTTCCGGGACAGTGCCCTACCGATTAGGCTACCGGGGATCACACACACACACACTCATTGGTCCTTCTTGCTACACTGCTCCCCTGCCCCAACATGCTGTATCCTCACGCCGTACCTACTCGCGGGGGGGGGGGGGGTACGATGGTCGTGGGTTCGAGCCATTGCCAGGCGCCAATGTTGCAAAAGAAGGATCCACGAGCGGGATTCGAACCCAGCACCCCTGTCTTTCCGGGACAGTGTCCTACCGATTAGGCTACCGGGGATCACACACTCATGGGTCCTTCTTGCTACACAAGTATTACTGTTGTGAACCCTCTGGTTCTCTAAAGTATCAGGAACGAACGACCCCACACGGCACGAGGACAACTATTTATTCTCAACAGTATATTTCACTTCCATCGACTAATAACACTGAACAATGACTGACTGAATGAACAACTGAAACTAACTAAAACTAAAACCACCAGGTAGTTATAGCGTGAAAATGACAGCGTATATGAGAAAAGCATACACATACAACATACAACTACAGCGCACACAGCTAACCGCACATAGCGCATGTAGCGTATACTACGTCGTAAACCTCAGCGGTACGGCGGAGTCGGGATACAACTGCATTGAAACGAACACAATGTCACAAGCGAGAAGGCCTTTCACTCTCGAGAACTTGTCGTTTCACAACAATTACCTTCACTGGGGGCAGGGGTGGTTAAATGCCGTTGGATCCCGGGACGGACACCTTGATGCGTGAATCCTTATTTCTGCGCACCCAAGTTGTCCTCACTTTCTGAGGTGTGGTGAGCACATAGGTTGGATCACTTCCAAGTCCGACCAGAGTTTGGGGATTGCAGGGGAGGTCGGCTGCTGGGCGGTTCAATAGCCAATTGAGTCATCTTTCCAAGACCCCTTTTGTGTCTCTCTCCCTTCTCCTGGGGAGACCCGTGTGACCAGTTTTGGCAGCGAGCAACAAGTACAAGTGTGTGGTGAGGTGGCGACTGGGTGCTTGGCAGCCTATCCAGGTCACAGAACAGCATACCTGGTGTAGAGTAGAACAAAGCTCTGAGCTTGAACAGAAATATAAAATTATAGAATCATGTAGAGGCATGGAGAAGGATAAAAAAGGATAAAAACGTGTGCTGGATATCAACTTCTACAAAAACACTATACTGCAGTGTGATGAGGTGAGGCTACAGATTCAGCGGAACGCCGCTACCATGAAACCTATGCTTATAGAACAGTCATGAACATGTTGCATTGTCATTGGCCACCCAAGAAGAGACACTGGATAGACGCAGTGGCCACGGGGATCAACAACGGGGCCATGAGAATGGACATGATGCTGGGAACTTGAACCCAGGCTGCCAATCGTTAGTGTCACTTGGCCGTTGGCGGATAATGCTCGAAAAATTGGCAGATTCCGCTCGAAAAGCAGTGAAATTGGCAGAACCATACACACCTTATGGCGGGTACTTACTTGAATTCTGCTCCATTTCCTTATCCACATACCAAACATGCATGAAACATAATATGTTTCATTTCAGATATTATCAGAAAAAAAGTACCAACATCTGCCAATCTTTCTGCCGGCATAATCCGCCAAACGCTAGTGTCACGTGCGTAGTTGTGTAGGCACGGTAGTAGTGTGCGGAGCAATGGGGAGGGGGATTCTGGCACCTGGTCCGGTGGAGAGGATGACTTTGAAGCTCCGAATTGCAGGGTCAGAGTTCATCACTCATAATGCATGGAAGTGGCACAACACGCAGTGTGTTAGTGTGGACAGCAATGGCACACTGAAGACCGCTAGACTTATCTGGGCGGGTGAACTGACTTGTTGTGCTTCAATATAAGCAGCACAAGCAACAGCACATTGCATTTTGTGGTCAAAAAGAATTCGTTGTTCGGGGTCATTTGACCGACCGTCTTTTTTTCATGCGACTGCAGAATGTGTTAGGCTGTGATTGTTTGGTCAGATCCAGATCCAGATCCCAGATCCCTTGGATCACTCAGAATCAATCGATCGCCTTTGTTCAGTGCATCACCAGGAAGCAGTGAATACAAAGAATAGTATCACCCCCCCCCCCCCGGCCGCTACTGCTGCTCTTGATGTAGAAAAAATAGCGATCGAAATGCAACTCAAGAGTTTCTACTCATAATATTCACCGTACTCATCTGATATAATTGCATGGCGCAACTCA